GGCGGAGGAGATTTATGACCTCAGCAAAAAGCTGGGGATCACGATCATCGTCGCCGACGCGCCGGGGCTTTTCGACCACGACCCCAGCCCCGTGCAGGTTTTCATGCGCCGCATTGAATTCGCACGGGTTGAACTCGAAAAGGACCTGGTTATCTATCGTCTGAAGGAGGGGCGGGACAAGCGGGCCAAAAACGTCAAGAAGGCCATAAAGAATACCAAGCGCCTCAAAAAGAAGCTGTCCCCAAAGCTAATCACGACGACCGGGGGCGCGAAGGTATCGGGGAGAAAATCTACATTGGAGAAAGCGGGCAACCTGACGTCGAAGCAGATATCGGCAGTGAAGAAAACCATGAAGAAGTACGGCTACGGCGAGATCGGCCTTCGTACTGTGGCGGTCCAAATCTCCAAAACGCTCAAATTTAAGGTAGGAGGCCAAGAAACAGCGCGGCGTTTTATGGACGAATTCAAGTTATGCTACTAAATGCCTGGCGCTCTACTTGGTGCCCGCTGCTTGGGCATGATGCCCGCTGCTAGTTTTGCCCGTCTCGATTTCGAGACCCCCCTTTTTTAACTGGAGCAAGAAATCGAGACGCCTGTATCTTCGCAGAAAAATAATCATATCATGGCTCGTCCTCCTCCTAGTCCTCCTCGCCGCCCCTCCCCCTCACCCCTACTGCTGCTGACGCTTCTGCTCTTGCAGCTGCCGCAAATGATGTTCCACCCCCATCTTCCCCCACCCGCGGTCTCCTCCCGCTCTCCCCCCCCGCCCCCACCTCTGACGTGCAATGTTGTTGTTGTTGTTTTTCTCGGCTGCATTTTTTCACGCCGTGTTCGTTGGATGCGGTTTGTGCCGAACCGCGCGTCGGGACGATCCTATTTTGTTTTCATCACTGTTCGGGCCCTGGGGCCAGCAAAAAACAAGTCGGTGCGGAACGATATGCGAGAAAATCGCTGTTACCAGGTTTCTCTTTTCTGGTGGTTATGAGCCTCTTTCCATGTCTGTCTGGTCTCCCTCATTGTCCTTGCATTATGGTTTTGGGACGTTCTGCAAGTGGTTCGATTTTTTGGGGCACCGAAAGACTGCACCTCCATTTGAACAGCCTTCAAAACGGCAAATTGAAGCACTTAAATTTGTACCGCGGGGCTGGCCAAGGTGAAACACTGAAATTTGTACCGCTAAACCGGCCAGCGATTTTTTGAGGAGGAGAGGAGGAGGAGGAGGCGAGGCGGAGGACGAGGGGACTAGTGAGGCCAGATGGCGAAGGGTACGAATTAACCCTACTGCGTATCATCCCCTGGCCTGCCAAGCTGATGTTAGACAGACCCGCAAGTGGGTGTGTCCAAAGTTCTGCAAGTGTTTCGACTGTTACCGCGTGCATTTACACGATCGCGCGAAATTGCGAGTTCCATATGTTTCTTCTATCGTTGTTCCTTTTCCGCATCCTCGATTCGCCTCGCATCGCCTCCCATGTCGTTGCTTTCCTCCCCCCTCTTCTCTTGCTCGTTTGCCCCTTCCCCTCCTCTCCCCCCGTCCCCCCCTCTCCTCCCCTCTCCTCTCCCCCGCCTTCTCTCTCTCTTTCTCTCTCTTTCTCCCCCCTCTGCCCGTCCCTGGCCGGGCCGCCGCGGCCCCGCCTCCAGGCTCGTCTGGAGGAGGCGTACCACGACGGGGATGGCGGGGACGGCGCGGCCTCTGCCCTGCGCCACCCCGGGAGAGGGGGGGGAGGGGACGGGAGGAGGAAAAGGAAGTGAAACGGACCGAACTCAGCACCAAAGGGAGCGAGGGAGGCAGAGGGAAAGGGGCCCGCAGCAGCAGCAGGGGGGGAAGGGAGGGGGGAGGGCTGGAGGGGGAGAGGAGGGGGAGCGCCAGAGGTGAGGGAAGGAGAGGGGGACAAAACGGAAGAGCGAAAGCCCAGCAGCAAAAGCAACAGCAGGAGCAGCAGCAGGAGCAAGAGCAGGAGCAAACGCAACGGCAGCAGCGGCAACAGCGGCCGATGCACTTACAGCCCTGGCAGCGGCGGCAGCGGCAGAAACGGCGGCGGCGAAGGCAGGGGAAGAGACGACGGGAGCGGCGGCGGCGGGAGCGACGACGCTACCCTCTGCCTCCTCCTCCTCCTCCTCCTCCTCCTCCTCCTCCTCCTCCTCCTTCTCGCCGCGAGGAGGGACAGCTAGGGCGACGAGGGGGAAAAGGGAAGCAGCAACAGCAGGCATGCAAAACTAGGATAGTTTCCTGGACGGGGCTTGCCTAGCAGGTTTTTCGAGCCACCCGTCTGCCCACTGCACCACAGGACCGCTCTAGGGGAAACCATGCGTGCACACAGATGCCGCAACGTGCGCACAGAAAAAAAAAACGTTGTCTCTGGTTCTTCTCGCGGTCGTTCTGCGGTCATCTTAAGACTTCGGGGCCATCTATGGGGTCATCGGGCCATGTAGGGGTCGTCGCGGGATCATCTGTGGGTCGTCCTCTGGCAGTCTCTGGGTATTGCTAGGGTCGTGGTGTGTGATCTCGAGATGGCATTTGGGGTTGCCTTGAAACCTTGCGGTCGGCGTGGGGTCATATGTAGGGTCGTGGGGTCGTCATGGGACCATCTCGGGATCGTTTCGACGGGCATGCTAGGGGCGATCTGGGCCATGGGGTTATCTGTTCGCCCAGGGCGGGGTTGAGCAGAGGACTTCTGGATTCGAGCTGCGCATAGGGCGAGACTATCATGCCCATCGTCAGGGGGAGACGGGCACGATGGCCCTGATCGGAAAATCGTTCTCACCGCCGACTGCCAAGCAGTTCCGCTGGTTCGCATGCATTGTCCTCGGGTTCGGCTTCCTTCCCACTCAGTTTTCATACTCGCAAATGCCATGCGCCAGTATCTATGAGAGGAATAACAAATCCGTTCGGCCGCGCGCGGCGCGTCGCATCGTACGCGGGTCGCGGGGATGTGGCCAGAGGGTCGCGGGCGGGTCGTAGGAGGGTTGCGGGCGGGTGGCGAGCGGGTGGCAGGTGGGCGGCGGGCGGGTCGCGAGCGGGTCGCGGGCGTGTGGGTGGGTCGTGGGACTCCTGGCGACGATGAAAGGACAGGAGCAATCATGACATATGCAATCCGCACCGCGGAACTCCGCTGCGGCTGCGCACGCAGGGACAGTGCAAGGCCGTCCTTCCCATCACTCATACGTCGTTGCAACCGAGCCACAATTTCTTGCGCACGCGCTGCATGGCATGTTGCGGCCAGAATGGAACGACCTCCACTGCCGCTAAATAGTTGCGCTCGCAACCTTAAATATAACTTTAAATTTAGCGTTAAATGGGGCATTTCACGACCTTAAATGTTAAGCAAAAGTTATGTGTAAGATATTAGATTTAAGCTTAAATATTGCAAACGCCAATACCTTAAATTTAGAGTGCATTGGAAACTTCAGGCGCCAGGTGTGGGCCTCAAGTCGTTTTCACCAAACCACGTTTTACTAAAGGGGGGTCTGTCCATCCCCGAACGGGAACCTTCAGCAACATCCGACGGGGGGAGAGGACCCCGCGCGGGCGGGAGCAGGGCCTGCCACGGAGGCGGCCTGCCCCGGCCCCGACGACGACGACGACGACGACGACGACGGCCCCGACGACGGCGACGACGACGGCGACGACGGCGGCGGCGACGACGACGGCGACGACGACGGCGACGACGGCGGCGGCGGCGACAACTGCGACGACGGCGACGAAGACGCGGAGACAGGGGCGGCAGGGGCGGCAGGGGCACCTCAGGGGCTGGGGTGCCGCTGCACGGTCGAGCGCAGGCTCCCAGCCTCCGTCGGCTCTCGGCTCGGCGGCCTGGCCCAGACATCTGGCGTCTCGATTTGCGGGCCCCTGACCTCTCGACCTTCTCCCCTGGGACCCGGGGTCTCCTCGCGAGTCGTTTTCGGCACCGTCCCGAGGCTAATCGAGGGCCACGAGAGGCCGAGAGCTGCAGAGGCAGCCCATGCCAGGAGACACCCTGCTCGCCTCCAGGCAGGGTGCCCCGGGTTTCTTGGGGTTTCGACGGTTTTGCGATGGACAGCGTGACGTCCCCACTTTCCAAATCAATCTGGACGTGCTGGGGCCTCAGGGTTGGGTTTCTTGTGGGAGGTCTCTTGTGGTCGAGCTACCACTGCATGCAAGACCTCCGCGTGGACCTCTCGCGACCGCTCCCCCGGGACCCGGCCTTCTTCCCGAGGCGCGTTTGGGACCGCCCCGAGGCCCCGCGAGGGCCCCGAGCGGCCGGCAGTTGTGCAGAGCCTCCGTGTGGATTTTTCTGTCGCGACGACGACGACGACGACGACGACGACGACGACGACGACGACGACGACGACGACGACGACGACGACGACGACGACGACGACGGCGACGACGACGACGACGACGACGATGACGGCGACGACGACGACGGCGACGACGACGACGACGACGACGACGACGACCGCCTGGGACGCCCCCGGACCTCCGGCGGAGGGCCGGGCCGGCGCCTCGCCCTGACTCCGGATCCGCCCTACTTTGGGGAAATTCGCAAGTGGGGCTTGGAGTTTCCGCCTTACTTTTCAAGCCCCGCTGATGCCAATTTCCGCCCTACTTTTCTGTTGCTTTCTCTGTGGGCTTCCGCCCTATTTTATGTTGGGTGCAGCAAGTTCCGCCCTACTTTTCTGTTGCTGTCTCTGTGGATTTCCGCCCTATTTGATGTTGGGTGCAGCAATTTCCGCCCTACTTTTTCGGCCTCTTATAGGTGGATTTCCGACGCAATTTTAAGTTGGAAAAAAAGCCAAAGTAGGGCGGATCCGGAGTCGATTTTTCTTTCGAGACGACGACGACGACGACGACGACGACGACGACGACGACGACGACGACGACGACGACGACGACGACGACGACGACGGCGACGGCGACGGCGACGGCGACGACGACGACGACGACCGCCTGGGACGCCCCCGGACCTCCGGCGGAGGGCCGGGCCGGCGCCTCGGCCCGCGGGGCCGCCGCGCCCCGCGAGGAGGCGGCCGGTCCCTGCCCCGCGGCGCCCGGCGGCGAGGGCCGCGACTGCGACGACGCCGCGGCCCGCGGCAGGGAGCGGGCGGGGGTGGCCCCCCCCCGGCGGGGTCAACTCGGGGGGGGGGAGGAGCAGGGGGGGTCGAGGAGGAGGAGGGGGGGGAGGGGGGATCGAGGAGGAGGAGGGGGGGCGAGGAGGAGGGGGGGGGAGGAGGAGGAAGAGGAGGAGGGGGAGGAGGAGGAGGAGGAGGGGGATCGAGGAGGAGGAGGAGGAGGAGGAGGAGGGAGGAGGAGGAGGAGGAGGGAGGGGGAGGAGAGGGGGATCGAGGAGGAGGGGGAGGGGAGGGGAGGAGGGAGGCCAGGAGGTGTGGGAAGGAGGGAGGAACGAGGAGGAGGGGGAGGAGGAGGAGGAGGAAGGGGGAGGGAAGATCGAGGAGGAGAATGAGGGAGGGGGGGTCGATGGAGCAGGAAGGGAGGGAGGGTCGAGGAGGAGGGAGAAAGGGAGGGAGGGAGGCCCCCCATCGAACAAGCAATGACATAGTATGAAAACTCGCGAGGTCCTCACGGATTCGAGCGCGAGCACATTCAAGTATAGTAGAACTGCAAGGGATCGGCTCTTGGGCCCGCTGGCGGCGCCTCCAGCGCCGCCCCTGCCGCGCTCCGCTCGCCAGGAAGGGGGGTCTGCGCGGACCTCCGAGCAATTGTATTGAAACCTCTTGATGTTTTCTACACAGCCCACCAGGATTGAGCTCTGCCAGGCTTGTTTTACAGTTCGGCTGTAGAGTGAGCTCGATGGTCCTGGTGTTGTTTGTTAACCAACCTTGGATGGTCAGGATACGTCTGGACCAAGATCTCCGAGGATCTGATTTTGTTCAAATCTAGCGTGCTTCCTCGATCTCGGCCTCTGGAGGCCGTTCTTTGGACCCGGGGCCATCCAGTGGATCCAGGGCCGGAAGCTCTTCCTGGGGAAGGGATCGGGACCTCGTCTTGCTTTGGGACTCGCGGATGGACTAAAATCAGCCCGTCGGATGCCAGGGGGTTCGGCTACGGGAGATTTTGGTCGGCATCGCTCGGACGTGTGCATTTTTTTTTTTTCCGGCGAGGACCATCGAGGAGCATCCTTGATCATTTGGCGAAAAAGCCACGCACGAAACCGAAAAAAACACAGGGAATGGACGCCCGAGCGATGGCGAGTTTGTGGCTGCACGCTGTCGGACGCTGTCGTCGGTTCCTGGTGGAGGTCCTGGCTCGGGGTGTGCACTCCAGCAGCCGCGCCTCGCCGAGAGCGTTCCGACGGGGGGGGGGCCACGGTCGTCCCGGCGGGCCGCCCCGGAGGCCCGAGCCAATGGCCTGAAGACCAGAGGTCAGAGCGATCCTTCCCCGTGGTGACATTTGGGGCCTTCCAAACGGGGCTTCCTCCTCCTCCTCCTCCTCCTCCTCCTCCTCCTCCTCCTCCTCCTCCTCCTGGCGACGCGGCAGCTGGGGGGCCTGCCGGGCCTGACGCGGCCCGAGCCCGCCAGGGGATCCCGGCCCTGCGCCTTCGAGGGATCGGGGAGGCGATCTCTCCTCCTCGGCGGAAGACTGGGGGCAACCCGCGGGAGCAAGACGAGGGTGGCGGCCCGCCGGCTGAAGGCTGGCGGAAGCAGGAGGTGCCCTCCCAGGAGCTGACCATGTGGTGGGATCCCATGCCAAGAAGCACCCTGCTTGCCTCCAGGGTGGCCAGGGTTTCTTGGTTTCGATGGTGTTGCTAGGGGAAGCGTGACGTTCCCACACCAGAAATCAGTGGACGTCCTTGGGCCTCAGGGTTGGGTTTCTTGTGGAAGGTTTCTTGTGGTCGAGCTCCCACGGCAGGGCCTCTGGCATGGGCCATTCGGTGCGCAGCCTTCGTGGTGGTCCCCTGTCGCCGAGCGCGCTCCACCACTCGCAAAGTGCCTACTCGCAAGCGTCCGATAAAAAAACCCACGTTCGCCTCGATGTAATCTATCGTAACTCCCCACGGCGGATCCAGGCCATTTGCGAGTAGTGACCTCCGCGTGGACCTCTCGCGACCGTTCCCCCGGGACCCGGGTTTCATCCCGAGGCGCGCTTGGGACCGCCCCGAGGCCCCGCATAGGGCCCCGAGCGGCCGGCAGCTGTGCAGAGAGCCTCCGTGTGGATTTTTTCCTTCGAGACGACGACGACGACGACGACGACGACGACGACGACGACGACGACGACGACGACGACGACGACGACGACGGATCCAGGCCATTTGCGTGTAGTGACTTTGCGAGTAGCGCAACGCGCTTGCTTACCCTGTGTGGGGTGCCAGGCCCCAGCACGCAGTCCGCTTAATTATCTGTCGCACCGCGCGCCGTGAGCGGCAAGGCCGCGCAAGAGGGGTCGACCTTGCGCGGGGGCGCCCCTCGACCTGACGTTACGTCGGGCCTGTCTCAGGAGGGGTCGCCAGAAAATGTGGGAAAATATGGGAAGTGGGGGGGAAGACAGAAACCCAGAACATATGGGAAAATATAGGGAATATTTGTATTTGTGTGTATTTATTTGTGTGTCCTGGGGCCCCTTCACTGTCCCTCTACAGGAGGTGTACTCCGAGACAGTTAAATTCATAGAAGACCGGTGGATGCCCAAAGATATCCGAACACTGTCCTAAGAAATCCGAGTGACGTCCTGAGGCACTTGAGAAGGCATCGAACGGATTCCTGAGGATCCCTATGGATCTCTTCAGGGATGCTGAGGACTTCCATCGGATTCTGATGTGTTTCCTCAGGAACCCGATGGATTCCTAAGGAATCCAATGGATTTCCTAACCTATGGAGATCCTGAGGAATGTTTTCTATGTTCTTAAGAAAATAATATTATTAACGTTCAGGATCATCTTGATTAGCATCATCGTCACCATCTTCATCAGTATGCTGAGATCTTTGAAAAACCTTTTGTTATCCCCGCTGGACCCCGAATGTTCTAATGCCGAAAGGGTTTTTATTGGGAGTTTGCGCTTAATTTGGTGACGATGTTCCATGCTGTGTTGATTGTTGTTGCATGTGTTTGGGCTAGAAATTGTTTTTCTTTCTTCCAAGACCCGCCTGTAGGAGGACACGCCCGACCTGAGCCTAACGGGGGCGCACCGCACGCGGGCCGGACCTGCTCTCGGCCTCCGCCTCATCCCGCGCCGTGCGGTGCCGCATCCGTTGCCGCGTCGAAGGTGCGGAAGACGGGGGGTCGAGGGTGGCAGTGGGCGGACCCGCTCCCTTAGGTGAGGAGGAGGAGGAGGAGGATGAGTAGGAGGAGGAGGAGGAGGAGGAGGAGGAGGAGGAGGAGGAGGAGGAGGAGGAGGAGGAGGAGGAGGAGGAGGAAAGGACGCCCTCGGAGATAAGGTACAACAGCTCGAAGGACCGCGCCCGAGCAGAAGAACCCAGCTATCTCAGCCACACAGGCGCTCCAGAAGGTGCGCCAACTCGAGAAGAAGCAGCTAGACCTCTCCACCACGGTCGACCGCCTTGCCGCTGAGCTCAGGGCGGCGCAAGGCGAACTGAAGGGCACCACCGCCGAGCTCAAAGGGGCCCGCGACACCTTCGAGAAGGCCAGTGTGGAGGCCACCGCGAAGTGGGCCAGCGGCGGGCACGACCCCGCCAAGGGCGACGATCACCAGGACATGGACGAGGATGAGGATGAGGAGATCGAGATCCCAACAATGCCCGTGATCCCCGACGGTCTCAAGAAGCACATGCAGGACATGAAAGGCGACCACGGAGACCAGGCCAAGGCATTCATCGAGCAGCTCACGGCCGCCTCGGCCAAGCTGCCCCCCGCCAAGACCAAGATCAAGAAGGCGAGGGCCAAGCAGAGCACCAGCGTCGACCATCGCGGCCGCCAAGCAGCAGCCCCAGAGCAGTTCGTCCAGGGCCTGGCGGGGATCGTAGGAGCCGCACTTGTCCCAGGGAGAGGGGGGGGGCTCGCGAAAGCTGAGCAGGCCACGCGGCCACCTCAGCGAGCTCCCCCCGAGCTCATGACAGAGTTTCACATCTACCACGCCAATATCACTAAGTGTAATGATAAAGCCAAGAAGTATTTATAGTCTTCTGATTTTGGGCTTCCTCAGGTCATCATGTTAGGGGAGACATCTGACTTCAGGGAAGCTGGGAGAAGCACGTAAATACATGGGGAAATTTTGCTACAAGAGTTATCAGTGTCCAGCCACATCCACGCCAGCAGGTGGAGAGACAGGCGGGGTCGGGATTTTCGTCACCCGACAGTTTCACTCTCACGCGCGGGTCATGATGGGGAAGGGTAACAAGAGGCCGCTGGTGGGGGGCACCAGCTGGACCGCTTGTATGATCCGCACGAAGGCCCGCAACATAGTTTTGCTCACCGTCTACCTGCAGTCGGGGGTCGGCTACAACAGTGTCAATATCAAGGTAGTGAAGGAGATTTCCGTTTTCCTCACCTCCCTGGACCTCCCGTACATCATCTCGGGAGATTTCAACATGGTCCCCCAGGAGCTCCTGGCAGGCCACCCCTGGGTCCAGAAAATCTCAGGTGTCATCAAAACCGCGAACATCGAGACCTCGTGTCGCAATGGTCGTCTCACCGACTACTTCATCATCCACAGCTCGATATCTGACTACTTGTCTATCGAGACCGATTTAACCAGCCCATGGAAGCCACGCATCGGACTCAGAGCAGTTTTCCGAGTGGAGGCACTCCATCGCCAGGGATGGTTCCCTAGGCAGGCTGCTGCCGTCCAATCATCAGCAGCCCCAGCCAGTCCGTGGGCACAGTATTGGCACCAGGCGCAGCTAGACCAGCACGAGACGCCGCAGGTGCAGTTCCCCATCGCAGAAGAGCTCGCCAGCCAAACCCTCACCCACCAGTACGGCCTCCTCAGTCGGGCTCTCGAGGGTTGGTGTATCGGGACCCCAGCAGGCACCCAAGAAGGATACAGTCGAGGGGACGGCTTCGAGGTCATTTGGAGAGACATCCTCCCCCCCACTCCGTTCCAGCATCGGCCTCATCATGAAAGTCATCAGTGGGGGGTGGTCCAGCAGCGGGCCCAAGAGCGGGATCATCTACTCCAACACCATCCGGCCTCCA